AATTGTTTTGAGACTAAAAAACTATTTATTTATGAAAATAGGACGCTAGTGTGTATATACTAGTGATGTCTGGTCGCGCATTGCGCGACCCTAGCCCAGTGTATCTGTAAATCTTAAAAATGTTTATATTTGAAAAAAAAATAAAACTTTATATTTGGAGCGATATATTTTAAAAATGTTTGAAGGATTTAGAAATGTTTTAAAAGTGTGATCATAGAAATATTTGTATTTCACAAAAAAAAGAAATTGTATTTCGCCATTTATGTTTTATAAATATTTTATAAGTGTTACTTATTAAATATAAATAGACTTAATCGAATATATGTATTGAAGTAAATGTTAGACAAAATATAAAAGCATCCTAATAAGTTTAAATATTAGTAAAATGATTTATTGATGTTCTCTATTGGTTGTGCCAAATCAATACTTAGTTTTGGAGATTTTTAATAGCTTTGTAATAAGCTTCATCCGAAGGGTATACGCTTAAAATAAAATTGACACTTTGTAACAAAAACCCAATTGATCAATTCAATTTAGACTCCATAATTAAGAAAAGAAAACCACTCTAATTGAATGAAACATAAAGAATTTTTTTTTTTAATTTAACGTGTCACGGAAAGTGCAAAGGGGGATTTAGTAATTTAGTTATAGTTAGACAAAAGGACAATTTAGTACTGTTCTCATGTCACGTGTCAATCATAGGAGATGTTTAAAAAAGGTGTTTTTATTTCTAATATAGCAGGATGTATAGATATATAGTTACATACAAGGAATAGTGCTTAAAACTTTCTAGCTCAAAAATAAGAAATGCTTGTGCAAGAAAAAACAACTATAAATTCGAATGCATTCATTCATGCATGTGAAAACAAAGGTAGATAGAAAAGGAAAGGTCAATCTTATCTAATATGTATAAAAGAACAAGAGAAGGAAATTTCTAAGGTGATCTTTTCCATTTAGTAAGTAGTAAACATTTTTTTTTTTTGGATTTTTATTTTAAAAAAGGGGAAATTAGTTCTGCCAAGTACCATCCTAAATTTTTTATTCAAATATGTATACAAGGACAAAATATAAATGGTTAATTAATAACTAGTAAACCCATATCTGGAGACAACAAACCAGGGAGCAGGTGTTTGGGAGATTGTTTCCTACCAAACCCGTTACATAGCGTCAGGTACGTGCAATTTCAAAGTTTCATCAGCAGAGGACACAGAAGGCCGGGCATGTCTTATTGGGCTTCAAGCGGCAGCTGAAAAGGTTTTACAGGACTGTCAACTACAAACGGATAACCAAAATATGGTGGATTTCATATAAAGAAAAAAGTTGTGTCCGTATCTCTTGATCCCGCTGATAGATGACATTAGGAACTTGTTGCCTAGAGTTAGTAGGGCAAGTAATGTAATAAAAGTAAATCGTTTTATAGTAGAAGGGGCGCATAGGTTAGCAAAGTGGTGCCTCTGCTCATCTATTTTTGTGTAATCTTATTATTTGGAAGTTAATTATAGCTTCATTATCAAAAAAAAAAAAAAAAAACTAGTAAACCCTTGTACAATCTCGTGAGAAATTTTACTTGTAATTTTTTTTTTAGGCAGTATCTAGAGAGAGACATGATTCCGCAAGCGATGCCTGCAAGACTGAAATAAACCACAAAAAATGCTAAATCAATCACTCTGGAAAATTTATATTGCTTTAAAATCACTGTTTGAAAAATTACAGAGAAAAAAGGTACAAAGCTGAAACCTCTTTTCATTCTGGAAGAAAGAGTCGTTCTTCTGAATTGCCCTATAAAAGTAGGACTACGGAAGAGTGGAAATACATAAGAGATTTATAAGTCCGATACACAGAATTCACTTGCAATCCGGCCATCATCTTTCTGGGTGCAATTATTATGTGAGGAATATATATAGCTTGTACCAAAAGGGCTGACTTCCTTGGGATCCATTTTAGATTATTTTTGTAGTAAAAAAATTTGATACCCATCTGCGTGTTCTTTAACAACAGTATCTCATGTCCAACTGATATTCATCACACTATAATTGTACTACGAAAGGCCTCCATATTCATCCTCTAGAGGCCTTGGAGAGTGTCCTAATGAAATAATGTGACAAAAAGGTATTATTATCCCTTTTCACTGTAGATCATTGGATGTTCACTCCTTTGCTTAGCTTTCATAGAGGCAATACTCTAGCCCATGAAATGGAAAACCGGAAGCCATTCAATCCAATATGTGTTCCATCAATTTCACGTCAACCTTGTAACGATGGTACGTAGAAATCATCAGCTACATCTCCATTGGTATATATGATCTACTATCTAATTACCAGGATTATTGTGAGTAAAAGTATCACATAGGCAGAGGAGAAGCTGCTCCGAAGATGAATTTTGCGGGGGTGGGAGGGAACTAGAGTTGCCAAATGAAGGTACATTTCAACTTGGTACTTGTGCAGCTCCAAGGTGACTCAAGAACAAAAGAGCAGGCCAAACATTGCTCGTACTTTAAGTGCCATGGCTCCAAGATCACTGTTTCTTTATTAGTTATATAGTTTTGATATTTATATTAAAAATTTGTACAAATTCTAAAATTTACTCAGACTAACTTTTTTTTACGCCCGGGGGGGGGGGGGTATTTACATTTACATTTATTGAGTGTCTCATTCGCTATTTATTACTCCCTCCGTTCCATAATTATTGTCCAGTTTGGATTTTCATTTTTAGTTCAAATTGTACTAAAAGTAAAATCTCAAACTGGACAATAATTTTAGGATAAAGGGAGTACTACATTTGGTAAAGAAAACTTGCATTCCCCATATTTCGTGTTAATACTGTAAAAATCAATCACATGAATTGCACATGTGAAATCTTTCACCAACTCAAGAATCAACGGCGATACTTAAGCAACAGCAAATTAGAGAAGGTTAAATTTTATATATAAACAACAGAAAATTGCCAGTTACAATATGTCAACCACCAAAATACCCAGAAAACATATCAAGATTTGAAATATTATTAACAAACAAATATTTTTAGCTGTATAATCAAATCTAAAGGGGCATGCCTTAAATCTATCTATATATGAGATACTTGTTAATTATCAGGATAAATGAAATGACTTCATATTCCCTTGTCCACATGAAAAAAATGAGACATTTGACACCAACATATAAAATTATAAGTCTAGTGTATTACTCCTTCCGTCCCATAATTATTGTCCAGTTTTACTAAAATGAAATATTTTATTTTTTTTGTCAAACTTAATTATATTTTATCTTAAACAACCGGATATACCCCTACATAAATAATTCTTTAACCACTAAGATTTTATGGATAATGTTTTTTACTAAGGACAAATGTGTAACTTGATCCATAAAAAGTCAAATTGGACAATAATTTTGGGACAAAATTTTTTGGGTAAAGTGGACAATAATTATGGGACGGAGGGAATATTATTTTTTGATTATCAATTGGCATTGAAGTTGGGTCTTATATGAGAACATGTTTGAACTTAGAAATTTGTCGAGTAAGTTTGACTAACCCAACAATATATTTGGACTTAGAATTTGAAACTTTAACCTACCCCCAAAAAAAATTCCAAGTTTTACTTTAAATTTTTACTGGTCTGAATGACAATTTATCCGGAAAAATAGCTAACTGAAAGGAGGGAAAAAGAAAATTCACCTGTACAAAATGTAGTACTCCCCTTATTGTCAAATTATTTTAAAATGAAACAAAATTTAAATTTATATGAACTTCAAGAGATCCATTCGTTTTCTTTTTAGGGAAAAAAGGAAGGGGAAGAAAAGCTTTGAAGTACACTTCTTCTGTAGCACTCCTTGTTATGTTTCCACGTACGGAAAGAATTTATTTTGTCACGAGCAATAATTTTGATTAAATTAAAACCAAGGAATACAACTTTGAAGATTTAGGTTTAAGCAATCTAAGTTGGGTCATTACAATTTGCCATTTACAAATATATAACTCCAGAAAGAAATAGTTTGTCAAAAGAAGAACACACCCTATTCCTAAAATATATTTTTATCAGTTTCAAAATGCAATAATTTTATAATAAGAATAAAATTTCTTTAAATGGAGGAAAGAATAAGATATTTATTAGATTATATTATACAACAGTAAATGAGATGAGATTTCTTTTTTTTAAGCGGAGAAAATATACAACGACAAATATTCACATGAATTGATGAAAAGAATAACTGTCATTGCAAACGCTGTAAAAACAGACTTCATAAAACTTTGAAAACTGCATGTTATTTTCATTTCTCCCCACTTTTTATGGAATAAAACAAATGAAAGCTGTCAATTTGAGCTCTAGGTGGTATTTTGTGCAAGGACAACGTTTCCCAAATAAGTAACGGCAAATTTTCATCGTTTCTATTGGTTTTCCCTATGTAAAGTACAAACAAAAAAATAAACAATTAAATAAAAAAAATTTAGAGTGCATTATCTGGAATTAATAACAATGTTTCTCAATTACTATTATTTATTTACTCCCTTCATAAGTACGTATAAGAGATTAACATTACATGAATCCAATATATTTTTCATCTAAAAGAATATGAGGAAACATAATTAAATCGGATCAGATTTTCTAATCCACGAATTACCCGTGTCGCCCTCGCTCACGAGCTCCCTCCCCCCTTTGACCAAAACACGTTTTTTATCTCTCTCTCTCTCTCATCTCTTGAAGTTATTGAATTAAACCTTAGTAAATAACTGTAATCTAAGCTCAGATTATGTTAAAAAAGAGTGGCCCTTTTCTTCACTTTGTGTCCTAAATCTTGGTCATTCATCACTTTAAAAAAGTAATTTCTTCACACAATCAAACCAACACATAAGTAAGCAGCTTTGATGCGCAGATGATCAAATTACCCTAATTCGATCGACAAATCGTAAATGTAATATATACGGTTACAAGTCCTATATAAAGTTCAACCATTTCAACAAAGAGGCCAAACGAGAAGAAATTCAGGAGAAAAGAAAAGAGAGCAATGACCGATTCATCTATTCCACCACCAAAATGCCAGGTATATTGAGGTTTATTCTTTTAATCAATTCTGACATCATTCAATTGAAAACAGAACTTATGTTTAGAGTGAAAATTTGTAACTTAAGCATATGCACAATAAAATTTGATGTATGTGTTGAATTTAGATACGATTTCTTCCGAAGGAATAAAATTTTGTCGATTTTTCTTGTGTTCAGGAAAATTTATTTACAAATGTGATGTCAATTTTACAACAAAATTTGAGCAAATGCTTCGAAGAAATATCTCCCCAAAATTGATGTTAATTAATTTGCGTCACTTAAACATCTCAAACTTCCAGAGCATTTGGTTCTTATTAACATTTTGCTCCTATTTTTTTCCCCCTTTAAAACATATGTCTAAACTTATTATGGTCTGATTACATTTCATAAAAAGATATCTAGTTGGGAATCATTCCGGTCGAAAAGGGAAAAAAAATCATTTGTCATTAACTTTTAGATATGTCCAAGTTCATGATTTCTTTTGTATGATTTTTGCTTGATTAAGATGATTAATTAATTTTCGTCAAAATATTTCATGTGATTTTTCCTTTGAAGAGCAATCAGATTCAGGTAATGTATTGACCTTTTTGTATCACAGTCACCGCCAAATCATGAACATTAATTTTTAGCAAAATTTTATAAATTGTCATTCCGGTCGAAAAGGGGAAAAAATCATTTGTCATTAACTTTTAGATCTGCCCAAGTTCATGATTTCTTTTGTATGATTTTTGTTTGATTAAGATGATTAATTAATTTTCGTCAAAATATTTCATCTGATTTTTCCTTTGAAGAGCAATCAGATTCATGTAATGTAGTGACCTTTTTGTATCAAAGTCTCACCGCCAACTCATAAATTGTCCTCCCCCTTCAATTTTAAAGAAAAATATTGGTGGTTGAATTGTTTTTGTTTTTTCAATGATATCACTAAACCATACCCAACAGAAAGTTTTTATTTTATTACTGCTGCTGATTATATGTGTGTGGAGAAATTTGATCAAATGGCTTTAGCACTGGGACTAAATTATAGAGAGACAATCATTTAAATTATATGATTTTATTCCTATTAGTTATAGCACATTATATCTGCACAAAATGTTATTTTGTAAATTTTTGTGTGTGTGTGTGTGTTCGCTTCGAGACAGATTTATTTCATACTTTATTATTCCCTATTTTATAAGATTTGAGAATTTTATCTTCACTTTCCTTTATCACTATTTAGAATATAGAATGGTTATAGTTTGGGGTTTGCATTTTTTTTTTGGTCGATGTCAAACAGAAACTATGTTTATTAAAAATGATAGAAATAGTTTTAGATAAACATTAGTTAGTTCCTTCATCTCTCAATTTTCAAAAATCATAGTTTTTAATATTTCTTTATTCCAATAAAGATTTCCTACCCGTAGATAAACAAATGATGACTGTCAAACACATGCTGACATCGTTACTCAAATTCATGGTTTCTAAAATGAATTACATCAATGCAAGTAAGGCTTTTGCTTCTCATTTGATGAATTAGGTCGGTATATTCAGCCATTAATTTTACTCGATGAATTTGCTATATGTATTATTATCATTGTTTTTATTACTCCGCGAATTTATTCACGGTTTTAGACTGTTAGCAAAATTATATGATTGATGATGACAATATGTTTTTTTTTTTGTTTTAAAAAAAAGGAAACAAAAGATGATGATCAACAATGTGAACAAACAGTGGAAGCTGAGGAAAAAGTTGAGGACATTAGCAATGCAGTGGAAGAGATGGAACCAGAGGAACAAGAAGAAGCAGGTGTTGAAGAAAGCATTCCAGATTGGGTTCATTCGTTGCTGAGGAAGAAATTTTTTAAAGGTTGTTTGGTCCATGATGCCGGCAAACAAAATGAGACGAACAAGTATTGTATCACTTGTGATCTTGCTGCTTGCAAGCATTGTATCTCGTCGGGTTCCCATGATGACCACAAAGTTCTCAAGATCCATCACCATAGCTACCAAGATGTCGTACCCTTAAGTGAGATGCAAGATCATTTTGACTGCAAAAGAGTCCAGGTATGTATGTAAAACAATTGAAATTACTCCTTCTGTCCCAAATTTATTCTTTAATTTTAGGTTTTCACTTTAAACTCAATTTATATTAAAAATAAAAATCTAAATTAGACATTAGTTTTGGGACAGAGAGATTACTTAGCTGCATTGTTCAAGAATAGTGATTGGAAGAGTGTGCAAGTGCGTATTATACGTTGCTAATTAGTGTGTCCTAAAGTAATGATCCATTCATTTTTTTTCCTACTACAATGAAAATAATTGTATCTAACTCGTTGATCCACATGATAGATTTCCCCGATAAAATATTGCTTTTGCAAAACAAAACACTAAAACTTCGGTATATATTAAATTTTTTGTTTCCAAGATGAGGAAGTTTTTTGTCGCTTCTTTTATGTCTTGATCGTGTTTCATTCTTTAATTTATGATGTCTACTCTAGTGAACTTAAACTGAGTAAATCCTAATAATAAATTTACTATCATTTACTGATGACACAGCTAATGTACAAAAGTTACTAAAGAAAATGAGAATTCATCTTGCAAACCTAACATATGCATGGATGAATAAGTCAGTTATTTGTTTCATTATCTGAAGACTGAAATTTTTGTGGTTTTATCTTTTTCTTTGGTTCTTTTCCGATTTCAGCCATACAAGTGCAACAAGAAAACAATTGTTTCATTGCATCCTCTCCCACACTGTGGATCAGGGGCACAATGTCAAGCTTGGGCTTGCTGTGATATTTGCCGGAGAAAATTGTTTGACCCCAAACAGTACCACTTTTGTTGCATTTCATGCAAGGTAAACTTTTGCAAGTCATTCATTATATTTACCTAAATCAGAAAACGCTATCACTTGTATATATTGTACTCTGTGCATTGCTCTCCACTTTTTTTTTTTAACTAATCTCTGTAGAAAAGGTTATTTTGGTGTAATCATTAAATGAAGTTGAGTAATGTGCTATATTTGTGGAATCTATTACACATGTAGCATCATGATATAATTAGGGTTCTATGTAATTTAATTCAACTTCCATTAAGTCATGCTAGTCAACTCAAAGTGCATGTTCCCATTTAAGATAATGCGAAGTAGCTGACCGTAGAGATAGGGTCTGGCTGTCGGCTAGAGGGATACTCTGGAAACGAAACAAACATAATAATAATAATAATAATAATAATAATAATAATAATAATAATAATAATAGTGTTAAGTAGCTGTTACCTCCAAAATTTTCTTTTTTGTATGCATATAGTGATGTGTGAATAAGGTGTTTCATTGCAATTGGCATGTATTACGTCTTGATTAATACCATTGGAATGCTCCTGCTATCGCCTTTAGCAATCATTGTACCTCTCTTACACCCTGAAGCTGAACCATTAAACAACCTTACAACTCAGCTCATTCCAGATTTCACGCTAATACACAATTTGTCAAAGGAATATTCTTTTTTCGATTAAAAAGTAACATTCGTTTTTATTAAACTAACTGCAAACCAACTTGCAGGTACATGCATTTTACAAGAACAAAGGAAAGATACCTCCACTTTTATTGCAGAGTCGACGTATGGTGGGCTTGGAGAGGGTCGGAAGAAGTGAGAGTAGCAAGCGAAAAAGGAAGGGAACACCACAAAGGGCTTCTCTTCCTTAGACCAGTAATATTACTGATGCAGGCATAAGAAAAATAAATTAATATCACCATCTCTTTCTCATTTCTTGCTATCAATCATGAGAATTCCTCGATCATTTCACATGATGGAGGTTGTCTTTATTTTATGCTTATTTTGAACTTCAAACTTTGGATATGGTCTTCTATAAATCTTTGGATTGTGAATTCTATTAAACTTCAACATTTTGGATTCAAAACAAGCCCTTACAATCCTCAGTTGACATATACAAAAAACCACATGCACGCATTGTGATTTTACCTAAGTGACACTTTCAGCTGATACAAGCAGAAAACTAGGGCTTGCAGAGTGCATGAAACCCGTTAAAATATTCTTAATTTATGAAGGAAAATGAATTTTGGATTTATTAAGGAAAATTTAGGTGATATTTTTAAGTAGCAACCCAAAAGTCTCACGGGATAGTAAATATAGTAGTCATTTTTTATTTTCTCTCTAGCCGAAACCCGATTAAGTAGACATCCAAACCTTGGTATTGATCGGAACTTTACGGCCTATGGCCCGCGATCAATCAGTGGTGGCCCCTACTAAACTTCATTGTATTCACTAGAGATTTGAAGAGGTCGTTGAGAGACGTCATTGTATTCACTAGAGGCTTTGACGAGGTGATTGAGAGAGTTAATTAAATAGGCTCTTTGATGATTAAGTTGCTTCAAAGCAAAAGATTAATCAACAAAAGAGTCAGTTTCCTTGTTGATAAAAAGAAGTCGTTCAATTCAAGTTGAGGCCCTCAAGAATATTCTTAATATGTAGAAGGGGTGTTGCTTGTATAGGGGAAGGAAGAAAGCCTTGACATTTCAGTTCTTATTGGATTCGTTTGATGCGAAGTTAGCTAATTGGAAAAATAAAATACTTTCTGGCGGAGGAAGATTGCTGCTTTTGAAGCATGTATTATCAATCCCAATCCATACATTTGCAGCCCTTGATCCTCGAAATTTATTCTTAAAGCACTGGAAGCTAAATGTTCGATGTTTCTTGTGGGGAAGCATAGATGAAACAAACAAAAGGCATTCGACATCTTGGGGTCGGCTTTCCTCTCCAACAGCAGAAAATTGGCTGGGAGTAAAGAAATATCATGACGTGATTCAAGCTTTTTCTGCTTAGTTGTTGTTAGACCCCAAAATAGATATGGATTTTTTCGACAGGCCGGTTCGGCCGTCAATCGAAGAGGCGAAGTTTCTCTGATATTGGCCTTTTAATCGGCGAAGGATTGACAATTGTTATCCGGTTTGGCTTGCTTTCTATAATATAGAGATAAGAGATAATAATTGGAGATTAATTCTATTCACGCTAGTATTGGGATTACTTTGGCTAAAAGAGCAAGTTTTACTTTTCCTCCAAAGAGAAGACGCGGCCACCTTTTCCTACATAATTGGGGTTTTATATTAATGTATAAGGTAGCCATTTGAAGGAATTTTGATCATGCACTAGAAGTCTTATGCGGGTTATTACCTAAAAGTTAGGCATATTGATTAGTTTGATTAATTTATGTGTTCACGTGAAAGAGAGTACTTCGGCCAAGTTTGATTAGTTTTTGTCCAAGTAGGAATATGATTCCTATTTCCTACTTTTTTGGAGAGAGTAATTCGGCCCCAAAGAAAGCAAGCAGTAGCCAGCCTTCTCCAAATCCCTTATTTAAGTGGCCAGGCGCTAGGCGAAAGAAGAATCATCATCAACTCATCGTCATCGATACTTATTTATTTTCTTTCTTTTTCGTCCTTCCATTCACGTATTTTCTACTTAAATAAATTTTATTCCTTGTAATAGTGTGTCATTGACATGATCTTAGCTTGTGGGCACTATATATCTTTTTCTTCTCACTTTAATGAATTTACGGCCACCACCTTTGGCTTGTCTCGCTTCTTCTCTATATTTTTCTTTATCATTATTAAACCGAAGTTAACCTTAAATCATCGATTCTAAGTCTGAGGCAAGTTTTTGAATACATCTACAATTATTTGATTTGTTTTTGTGTTTGAGTATTTTTCTATCTCCTTTCCACGATCTGAGTGACAACTTTTGCTCAAATAGTTGTGGTGGAAGGTGAAGCATCAAAGTTGAACTCGGGCAAGATTTGCAACTTCTTTATCTTAGAGTGCAAGGCATCGGACAATGTGTTAAAAGTTTTAAGTGTTGATCATGCAGTTGCTCTTCATTCTAGGGTAATAGTAATAAGGGGGGGATGGCTCATTCTAGTCAAACTTATCCCCAATTGGAGTTATTTTGGACTTGTATGTATCAGAAAGACTGCCATTTACGGAGTTAAGAATATAGGAATTTTGTGATGATATAGAACTTTATGGGGTTGAACAGTGCTTTCATGTCATCAAATCTAAGGAGCATCTCGAAATTTATTCATTAAATCTATTTCTATATGAGATACTTGTTAATTAGAAGGATTAATTCGATTGAGCCGCGACTCTACCAAACCCTAGTCGCCGACTGCCGCCTATTCTCCAGCCAACATGGTTGGTGACAATCCCCGGGAGGCCCCACTAGGCCTCCTAGATCATTTTCAAGCTTCCTTACAAAACCTCCTGATGATACTCCGCCTTAACAATCATTGATTAAACCAGTCACTTTCATCAATAGTATCGCCGTTTCATCAATAGTATCGCCGTTCTAGAGTATGAAGATGACAAATATGAGCATTTGATCGCACCACACTAGCTAAGTTTAATTGGAATGTTTGCATATGGCCACCCAAAGATGGAAGAGATACACAAAGAATTCAAAAAAAAAAAATCGATTTCAACGGTGGTTACACTCTCAGGTTGGTGAATGAACCCTAGACATGTGTTGATCCGATTCGTACGTGAACAGGATTACCAACACTGCTGGAGTACATTCTGGAACATTTGTGGTTTTTCAATGCGGATCGTCAAATGGAAGCCAGGTTTCAAATTTGAGGAGGATCCGCCGATAGTTCCAATTTCGGTTTCCCTTATGGATCTCCCAATCGAATTTTTGAATCCGGAGGTGATTTTCTCAATGGCTACGGCGATTGGCAAGCCATTAAAGGTGGATGCTCCGACCTTGAACATGACTAGACCTTCAGTGGCAAGGTTTTCTGTTGAGGTTGACTTAACCAAAGAACTTCCTAAGTCAGTGAAAATTGGAAAACGAGGAAGAAAGCATGAGCAATTCTTCACGTACGAACATGTTCCTTTTTATTGTTCAAAGTGCCTGAAGATCGGACACAAGGTGGAAGACTCTAAAAAAGGTGTTGCAAAGATGAAGAAGCCTGCCGATGCCAAAACCCAACCGTCGCAACCTCTCCCAAAGTCGCAGCCTAGGATTTTGCTGCAGAAGGAGAATGCAAACCCCAGCTCGAAGCCCGCGATTATGATTTCGGAAAAGCGTTGAACTTCTGGATTGTCGCAGAAAGAAAAGGCTGCAATTGTTGTTGATATTGAGGGCTCTCCCCCCAAATTAACAGAAGAAGGAGAACTGCCCTTGGTTGAAAAATCAGAGACGGCAAAAGTACTGGCCCTGCAACAACAACAAAGCTCGCAGCCTGTGCCTCCAGTGGTTGCGACAAACAGATTTGCCTTGCTTGGTACCATTCTGGAGGAGGACAGTGAAATCCCGGAAATAGAGGTGGAAAACTGAGATGTGGAAGTCGTCTCTGGTCCAGTACTGCCTCCACTAGATGAAATTGAAGTCATGATCGAACGTCTTGGGACTGAAGGAATTAATTCTGAAACCTTGCGGCTGCATGCGAGTCATTCTGAAACTCTGCGGTTGGATGAGGAACGTCAGGCTATGTAGAGGCTTGGAGCGACATTCTGTTGAATGTGGGAAAGTTTTCTGATAATGCGGAAGTGGGGAAACGATCTGAGATGCTGGAAATAATTGATGGGGGTCATTCATGCTGGTCTGAGAGTGATGTCGACAATGTTCGTGATGATGAAACGACGCAAGGGAAAGTTTCAGAATTGTGAAAACGGAGTAGCAAAACCAAAGCTCAGATGATGGAGTTACGTAAAGGGGTGGTCTTTCGGCGATCACCTAGGTTACAATAGATAATTTTTTCCTAATTTTTTCATGATTAGTCATTGAATCTGGAGTATTCGTGGAATAAGGAATCAAGCCTCGCAACAGCGTTTGAAGGCTTTTTTATTCAAATGCATAAGGTGGAGCTTCTTTTTATTATGGAACCTATGCTAGCGGGTGATCAAATTGAAGGGATTAAAAGGGAGCTTCGTTTTGATGTTGCTTTTACCTCGGGTACTAGCAAAATATGGGTTTTTTTGTAAATCTAGTATAACTCTAACATTGTTGGGAGATAATGGGCAGGTTCTTCACTTCAAGGCAGATAATATTTTGGTTCCAAGCACTTTCCTCCTTTCAGCGGTTTATGCCAATTCCACAAGGAGAGGTAGACAAGTTTTATGGCAAGACATGATTGATTTCAGGCAGAACCATCCGGATGCACCTTGGTTGATAGGTGGTGACTTTAATGTCGTTATTCGCACCTTGGAAGAATATTCGGGGCAATCGGTCCAAGATCCGCAAGCCATGACTGATTTTAATGATAGCATACAGAGAAGTTCTTTGATGGAATAACCGGCGATTGGGGAGGAATTTACATGGGAGGTACAAGACAAACCGGCTGGTTAGCAAGGAACTTGATAGGGTTCTCATTTCGCAGGAATGGCATGATTTGTTTCCAAATGCATTGCTAGAAAACCTGAATAGAACCACCTCCGATCATTGCCCGATGCTACACTTGTTCAACTTTCCGATCGTTAGGAAACCAAAGGTTTTTTGGTTTCAAAAGATGTGGCTGTGAAGGTCTGAATTCATGAGTTTGGTGCAAGAAAATTGGATTTTGCCTCTGATATGCTATGGCATGTTGGGATTCTCCTTGAAACTCAAGCGTTTGAAAGCTAAATTGAAAGAGTAGAAGAAAGATGTTTTTGGTGATGTTTTTGGCAACTTGCGAGTGGCGGAAGACAAAGTC